GATCCCGGAACGCCCCCAGCCACTCTGGGCCTACATGCGCAGGCGCCGAGCGGCCAGGGGTGGGGCGGGAACATCCCCAGGACTCAGGCGCTCCGAGCTGGTGCGCACACAAGTGGCTGGGGGTGGGGCGGGAACGTCCTCCGCAGTGAGCGAGCAGACAGCAGGGCCCTGCTTGCCCTTGGCCATGGCAGCAAGGGGCAAGCAGTCCCCCGCAGGGCCCCCACAGAGAGCAGACACCAAGGCCTATGGCGGCATCAAACAGGCAGGTCCACAGAGAGCAGAGAACCACGGGGAGCAGGCCTAAACCGTCAGTAGGATATCCCCTGAGGGCTCCCAGATTGGAGAGGGTGCAGGTCAGGCTGAGGGACACTCCCCCCCGCCCCATGCATGAATTTTGTGCACCGGGTCCCTAGTAAAATACAATAACACTCACCTTACTTTCAAAAAGATGGTTATAGGCTGTAACCAAATGGTCCTTGTTAGCTGTCTTGGCCACATTTTTAATGTTTCCTAATAACTTATGTTCTGCAAGAAACTATAAAGAAAAAAGCTGGTTAGTCAAAACAATTTTCCTCATATAAGAAGGGTCTAAAATTACAAAATGATCTTTATATTAGTCATTGTTTTCAATAGTACTACTAATGATGGAAAAAATATTGTATTTTATACCATACTTCGTAACAAAAAAATTTAAAGAAGATTGATAAAAACATAGAGTACTTGTAAGATTTACAAGCCTAGGACTGTAATATTATACTGTGAGTGCTGTATCAGAGCTCACAGAAAAGCACATTGATACAGCAAGCACACTTTGGTAACTGGGCAAGCTGCTCCTAGCACAATGGGAGCCTCCAGCCATATTAGGCACAGCTATCTCGCCATATCTGTCACCCATTCTTGGCAGGCTGAGCAGCACTGCTACACAATGTTGGATATACAGTGGTTACATTTATGGGCTGTGGAGTTAGAACATCGGGGTTAAAATCCTAGCTGGTTTTTAGACAAGGGACTAAGCTTTACTAAAGACTCAGTTTCTATATCATAGTGGAAGATTAGTCACAGCATGTATGTCAGAGGGTTGTTGTAAGGATAATCCACAACAGAATTACCTTTCTCTCAAATATAAGACTAAATTGGTAAATGGACACCAAAATACTATTAAAATATCAAGTCATCAAAATTATTTAACTTCAATTTAAAATCATGTAATATGGGGATTTTAATGCTTCCTTTCTGTCTTGTGGTCTTGCTTGATTCCTCATTTTCTTTTTGTTGTTCTCTGACTCTTTGAACCTTCTGATAAAGCAATTTTTCTAATACTATTCTACGGTATTTTTTTCTCTGCCACTCCTAGAGAAATGTTCTAAATGATAAAGGCTGATGGGGAAAGGCTACTTTAATTAAACAGAAGTAATCACTTGCTTTAGCACTCTTGTGATTTCTTTAGAAAATGTTCCAAATATCCAACATATAAATGTCTCCTTGATATCTTATGATCAATAAACTGATGAATATCAAGTACAGGTTTAAGTATGTGTGTGAACAGTGGAGAATAAGCACTTAAAAGAACGTTATAGCCCTGACCGGTTTGGCTCAGTGGATAGAGCGTTGGCCTGTGGACTGAGGAGTCCCAGGTTCGATTCGGGTCAAGGGCATGTACCTTGGTTGTGGGCACATCCCCAATAGGGGGTGTGCAGGAGGCAGCTGATCGATGTTTCTCTCTCATCCATGTTTCTAACTCTCTATCCCTCTCCCTTCCTCTCTGTAAAAAATCAATAAAATATATTTTAAAAAAAGAACGTTATAAAAATATCTCCAAGTCTCTTGAAATTAGCCAGTTTTACATTAGATACCACATTGGGATGATGTGTTTACAAGAAATTTGATGGAGCACAGTATTGAGGGATAACATGCTACTAGATGATATGCCTACTCTATTCTAGTTGAAATATGAATTGGTTTAAAATAATTCCACTAAAATGGTAAAACGGTATCCCTGGACCACCGTCTTTCTTTTTCATCCTTGTAGCCCCAAACACTGAGCACAGCTCTTGCTGTAGATGCACCAATTATTTACTGATGTCAAGACGCTTGTTCAGGAGCATGGAGATGGGAGTTGGAGAATCATCCTACTCCCCTCCAAGTGAAAATCTACAATCTTCCTAAAGAACCCAGAAACAATATTTCTAAATGCTAGCTTAGAAGTGCATAAGAAAATTGTAGAGAAACCAGATAGAGACTGCTGCTTCTATCTGATAGGGGGCGATGCCGCGGGCATAACCAACTGGACAGTCGTTCAACAATTCAAGACGTAGGAATGGTCTTAATTTCTGAAGGAAAAAAGTCTGAAGAAATTACTTGTGACCAGACATGGTTAAGATGGAGACTAAGCTGAAAAAACGCAGGGCGTACCCTGTAAAGAATGAGAAAATAGACTTCTTAGCTTGTTTATAACAACGGGAGGCCGCTGTACATGAATTGCACATAGAAGTCCACAGTGTAAAGATGAAAAGGTCATGTAAAGAGTTCGTGTTTTTAAAAGTTAAAAGCGAAAGCTACGAATTTTTTTAAAAAATCACATGCATTAGTGTTCAGTATTAGGAACTGATGAGAAAAGCAAGTCGCACACATGGTTCCCACCGAAATCCCGTCCGTCCCAGGTCCCTAACGGCCCCCGCCCCGCTCCCCG